TATATATATATGTATGTGTTTGCTTATTAAGAAATACATCCGTACCCTTTTCTATTTCATGGAAAATCATTCAAGAAATCCTTAGCCGCGCTGCTTCCACGCTTCGAGCAGCCGGCGGTCCAGTTGTTTGATCCTCTCTCCCTGGCCGGTAACTCCTGGGTTCATGGGTGTAGGGTTTAGGGCTTGAGGCTCAAGGCTCATGGGTCCAACTCCCTAAAAATAGTCATAGGGTTTAGGGCAAACAAGAAAAATCATCACAATAATCATAATACCAATACCAATAACCAAAAATATGATAGCACAACTACTAACACTGTTACTCAAAATCATACTGGCGATCGCAGCAGTAATGAAAGATGAACAGTAAGTAACAACTGGGTTCACGACGATGCCCCTCAACAAGAGCAAACCCAATGACAATAATGACGGGCTTGAGGGCTTAAGATGCGCAAGGTTTAGGACAGTCCCTCAATAAATACAATACTAATAATACTACTGATAATCATAGCAAGATTAGCTACAACAGTCCTCGGCTCACTCCTATCCCCTTGATAATGAAAATAAGAAAACTCAGAATAATCTACGTATTTCTTTCGACAGAAGGCGAGTGCTCTGCTTTTTCTATGAATCAGTCAAAGGGTACTGCTGGGCGACCGAGCCGCGGTATACTCTCGAGAGGTTCTCAGCTGCTGCGATGTCTCTAGCCTTGGTTCCGCCGGAATCCTGGAGCAGCGCGAAGATCACCTCGTAAACCGGCCTTACTTCCCCCCCACCCCCCCCCCCNNAAAAACAAAAAACACACACACACAGAGATACAGGCTGATGATACAAATCCGGCATTACACCCATCGTAAGGAATAGACCGTAATTCCCATAGTTGAGGGTCCTTAAGGTAGTGCAGGATTTATACCATCAACAGTACAAAGGTTGAAGATTTCAGATTCCACTAAAGAAGAAGAGCCCAAAGTGTTTGAAGCTCTGGAGAACTGAGCGGCAGCATGCACCAGGGATCATCGTCGAAGTTATTCCGCTCCTTGAGCTCGGCGGCCCGAGTCTCAAGTGTCCCGGCCACCTCAAAAGTCTTTAGGGCTTAATATAGGGGCCTTAGTATTTAGGAATAGGGGTTTATGCTACATTGAAGTATAGTTGCTCTTAGGGCTGAAAATGGGTTAGAATAGGGGTTTGGAGCATGTTGAAGTATGGTTGTTAACAAGAAACCCCAAGAAATAATACTGGTAACTATTTAGGCCCCCATGGCGTTTAGGGCTAGCCCTCAAGACATCAAAACCTTAGCGCCCCCAACCCCTAAAACAATGGCGCTGAGAAAGACAGAACGCTACAAACACCAAACAAAATTTCTAGAGGAGCTCTCCGGCCACCTCTAAATCCTAAACCCCCCCCAAAACCCTAAATCCCTAAACCCCAAACCTCAGACCCTCAAGCCCTAACCTTTCAACCCCTAAAACCCTGAATCCTACATCCATGAAACCCTGCAGCCCCCAAACCCTAAACCCTAAATCCCCAAACCCCTAAAACCCCAAACCCTAAATCCTGAAGCGCCTTGGGGTTAGGGAATGAAGTAAGCCCCTAAGCTCTGGCCCCTAAGCCCAAAACCCTAAAACCCCAAACCCTTAAGCCCTTAAACCCTGAATCCCTAAAACCCCAATCCCGTAAGCCCTTAAATCCTGAATCCCCAAAGCCCTAAGCCCTAAACCCTTAAGCCCTTAAGCCCTAAACCCTTAAGCCCTAAAACCCTGAATCCCTAAGCCCCAGCCCACCTCCTCCAGTGTTCCCTCGTTCTCCAACTGTCCGAAAGCTCGCTGGAAGAGCCCCGGGCTCTCGATCAGCTCTGGCCAACCTGCTGGGCTCTCGTAGGGCTCTCGTAGGGTTCTCGTGGGCTCTTAGGGCTCTTGGGGTCTAGGGTTTAGGGCTTCGTAAGGGTCTTAAGGCTCTTAGGGCTTAGGGTTTAGGGCTCTTCGGGCTCTTGGCTCTTAAGGCTTAGGGATTTGCAGGCTTTCTATGGGGCGTTGCCAGGGTACGTAGGGCTTTGGGTCTTCAGTCATTTGCTTTGGGGCTGTTGTTGAGTGCCACACAATGGGGGGTACATTGCAGAGTGCGTTGATTCAATTGGCAACCGTATAGCACCCCTGCAAGAGCCTGGTAGGATCCAACACCATAGAAGTGAACCACTATACGACCCTAAGGGGATACCTGAAACTAGGTCATAAAAGGGTTCTTATAACAGCTGGACCAAGGTTTCGGGTTCAGGGTTTAGGGTACTGTTTCAGTGTACTGGGGCTTGTACAGGGATGCTACAGTATCAACCCCTATAGAACCCTCAGAGAAGCCCTGAACGAATGAACTATTTAAGCCCTAAACCCTAAACCCCTAAACCCCTACACCCCAAAACCTAAACCCTCCACCCCTGAAGCCCCGGAACCCTGAACTCCTAAACCCAAAACCCCAAAACTTACACCCCCAAACCCCCCTTAAACCCTAAGGCCCTAAACCCTAAAACCCCCCTTTGAACCCCTACGCCCTACACCCCTAAAAACCCTAAAATAGAACCACCAAACCCCACTAAAAACCCTAAAGCCCTAAACCGCTAAAATCCCCTCAAAACCCCTTTAAACCCTAAAGCCCTAAACCCCAAAACCTACACCCCCCGCCCCCAAACCCCCTTAAACTCCCACTTAATCCCTAAACCCTAAAACCCCAAACCCCACATAAGCCCTAAAGCCCCCCCCAAAACCGCCTTAAAACCGACACCCCCCAAAACCCCTTGAACACCCCCAAAGCCCTAAAGCCCCCCTAAAGACCACAGGTCGGGTAGCTGACAATCTCCGGCCCCCGGTCACTCAAGACCAAGACGTGCACGAGCTCGGGTCTGGGGAGGAGGGTTCTCAGGGCTTTAGGGTTTAGGGTGTTTTTTTTTAAAATGTTTTTAGGCTTCTTGGGGTTTCAACGTTTTGGTTTTTTTTTTAAAGTGTGCTCTGAAGGGCTTTAGGGTTTTGGGGTTTTGGGTTCTAGGGTTCAGGGTTTTAGGGTTTCGGGTTTCGTTCTTTAGGGTTGGTTTAGGGTTCAGGGTTAGGGTTTTGGGGTTTAGGGTTTAGGGTTCCGGGTCCAGGGTCTAGGGTTGTTGCATGGAGGTTTCAATAGGGTTGAACACGGTTTTTCATTGGGTTTTGCAGGGCTTAATGTGGCAATCTGAATGATCAGCAGTACTATCCCTCCTGAAAGTACCGAAAGCAGTTATACTAGTTATGACATAATGTAGGGCTTCCGCGTAATCTATGTACTGCGGCCCCTGAAAACACGATGAAACGCTGCAAAATCCCGTAAAACATCCTACAAAGGCCTGCGCAGGAAGCCAAAGTCCCGGGCGCTGGCCGGCGACCTCAGTGTTTTGGGGCCTAGGGGCTTCAGCACATTCGGGGCTTCGGGCTTAGAAGGTCTGGGGCCATAGCATCAAATCAAGATCAGCAAACGAGGCAACATCAACATGAACTCAACCAGCAGTGCAAGCAATCACCATCAAGACCACGACGCCACAAACCAACAAGACCTCCACGGCAGCAGCTACGGCACACTGATCGAGACAGTCACACCAACGACACTGCCGCTGAAGTAAGAGAACAAACAAAACAAATCTGACGTGAGACTGAGAGTCTGCAGCCAGAATACAAGCAAAGTATTACTGTACAGCAGCGGCAGAGGGACGCGTATGTAAGGCTAAAATCGGAGACTGCTTTTGTAACCACAACATGAAAATGAGCAACATAAGCACCGACAGTATCACAAGCACACTCACACTGCCTCTTCCCTATCTCACTGTCCATCGCGCTCCTCAACATCCTCATCACCACAGCAGTGACCGTAAAGCTAATCACCATGGCCATTAAGCCTTCCTCGCCTGCAACACCATCATGATCGCCCTTCTCGCGGTCGTCATCCTCATCATCCGTGTCATTCTCATCGTCATCATCACCACCACCAACAACAACATATCACCACCATCACGCAATCCACCAGTTGGTACACCAAGCCAGCAAGCAACCAACCAACGAGTCCATCATTCCACAGCAAGTCTAACCAAAACAGTCTACTTTTTCATCCAACAGTTCACTCATTCCAACCCTTTCTTGCATTCATCCATGAACCCATCAACCACCAATCTGCATCATCGTCCTACTACTACAGGACGTCTGCTGCTGCATGCCATGCCGTCTGCTCTGCGTGTGTATGCGCTCTGGCATCCATGCTGGCTGTTGCTTCGCGCAGTCGCCTAGGTCTGCGCCGGTTTAGGGAGTCTGCACCTCTCCACCTGGGATTCTGTTCATGCTGCGGGGTACGCAGAGACTTTAACATGCGAAAGACCGGTGAAAGCCCCCTTGTGGCCGTTTTGCTTCCTTGCCCTTTCTTCGCCATGTCTCTATCAGGGTGCGAAGGTCCTGTTGCTCCTGGCGCTCTTTCCTCCGAAGACAAGCGCAGACTCAGACTTGCTGGAGCTGCTGCGGGGAACTGGAGCCATGGGTTTTCGGTTTCTTTACCTTTCTTTTGCTGTCTCCCTCTGCTTCTCTCCCCGACTGCAAGCCGCTGAGCGCATGGCCACAAGTAGTCGATCGTCAGCTGCAGTATCAGGATTCCGTGTCGTGTCTGCTCCGCCGCCTCCTTGAAGAGCAGGTCGCCAAGGTCGCCCCCACTTTGCTCTCCGGCTCCAACCTTCTTCGGATAGCCCGCCGCGCCGGGTGCTCCGGCTGCGATGCCCAAGGCTTGGCCATGGCAGAAGCTGATGCTGCCTTGGAAATCACCGCCACAGGTACTATGAGGGTTTAAGCTAGGGCCGATCTTCTTAATCACAAGGCTTTGAGATAACTTCGCTCCCAGTGGCGGAAAGTGCCTCTGAAGTGCACGCCTTGCTGAAGGAGGCGAACCAAGTGGCGATGGCCTTCGCTGTGAAAGCTGGAAAGCAGGAAGTCTGCCATTTTGGCCTCTGCTTCGCCTTCCAGAGACTTCAAAAACTGTGGGTCCATCGCATCACTCTCCATCCCTGACTCCCTACGAGTCTGCTACGAGATCGAGCCTTCAAGGCTGCGGACAATCCAACCTTCCCACTGCGGCCAGTAATCAGTATGCCCAATGGGCTCTGATCGCTGGCTGTTCTCTTTATGAAGGTGGCGAGAAAGATGGCAAGAAGGCACAAGATGCCCAGCAGGGAGGGGAAGAGCAAGCAAACACTGGAAGATTTCACCTTGTGAGGATCAACAACACAACGATGGCACGATTGGAACTACGGGGAAGACATACTCAACCAAAAAGGCTTCCATATGCTTCCGTCACGCAAGTAACCGCAAGTACGCATGTGTGAAGACGTGGATCCATGGAGCGAACATGTGCTCAAGACGGGCCACATGCTGACCCGTCATCGGTCCCAACCTCTCCTACGACGTGAGAAGCTGCACCAGCTCGAATCACATGCACGGACGCGTCATCTCCATGCCATTACACCGCTACCTGCACAACACCGTACAGGCAGGCACGCAAAGACATGTATCACAGAAAATATCGCCATTGATGGACTTCATGTGTTGCTTCATGATTCGTCTGTTTAGTCGGTCATTCCCCAGTCATTTGTTGACTTGATTCTCTCCGTAGTTGCATTTCTGTTGTATTCAATCGCTCAGTCGCGCATGTGCGAGAATATGCGTTGCACAAGGTTTATGCTTTCTCAGACGTAATACTCAGCTATCGATGTACCGCTTTTTGAGGTAACTCAGCGCTGCACTGCTTGTCAGACAACCGACCTGCCATTTAACAACACACTTATCCATCAGATCGATTAAAATGAAGATTATGCCAATGTGTGTTTGTGTACAAACAAACAAACATACATGCATGCATGCATACATACATACGTGCATATATACGTGCTGCCTGCCTACCTACGTATAGCCACCTACCTACGTATGTACCTACGCACACATGCACGCGTACGTGCATACATACAGGTTCGTACATGCATATACGCATACATACATACATACATACATACATACATACATACATACATACTACATACATACATACATACATACATACATACATACATACATACATACCCATACATACACATACATACACATACATACAGACATACATACGTGCACACATACCTGCACACCTACATACCTATCTATTTGCCTACTTTGCCTGCATGCCATGCCTGCCTGCTTGCCCACCCACCCGCCCGCCCGCCTACACGCATGTATGCATACATAACATGCATGCAAGCAGGTAGCATGCACGACAAGATGTGCAAAGAGCCATGTATCGCAAATGTGCAGCAGGGAAGCCAAGAACGTGCTGCAGCGGTGATCTTTTTCCAACCGCCTCACTCTCGTGGGTGCCGGCTGCATTGCAGGAGAAAGCACGACCTGCATGGTCTCGCGAGGTTTTGGTTTGTGACGGGGTTGGCGGAGTTGCGGTTGCCACTGGCTCTTCGTTACTCCGTCTGTGCCTGTTCTGGTTTTTTACGAAGGCTTGAAGGAATTCGTGTCTGGGGTGTCGGGGCGGGGAGGAGAGAACTGGGATGTTAATGTTGATGTCTTTCCAGAGTCGCGCTACGGAGCCGCGATAGGGGCTAGTCGGCTAGTCTGCTGCAGCTTCCAAGCATGACCTTGTCACAAACATGGTCATGTCATCATTGCGCATCTCGCCACCATTACATTACAGCACCCGATTCAAGTTAGTTTTGGCAGGATGAACCCATGCCGTGCCGGATCCAGGACAATGACTTCCGCTGAACTAACCTTGAAAGGCGCGCACCATCTACCTACTGTCTTTTGAAAGGTCAGTTTTGCTTGGGATTCCTCTTAACTTAAGGTCATGTAGCACTCGAAGACCTCAACACCCATCGCTCTCTTGCAGACCCTACAAGCCCAAGCAAGCCAAGTGTCGCTGAGGAACGGCAAAAGCTGTCGCAATTGTCATTATCATAGTAGAACAAAGAGCAGAGAACCCGGCTGGTTATCATTGTTGTCAGTGCCACTTCAAGAGTGTCATCTTCTTCGTATCCGTCACATTGAGCATCCCAACGGCCACTGCAAGTCATACCATGAGCACCATCATGGCCAACCGCCGTGCTCATCACCGTCACCGTCACATCGCCACCACCGCCCGCAACAATGCCAAAGAGCAGCCGCGGCGGCAGAAGAACCAGCAGCAACGCGCTCCCGTCCCGTCCCACACCATCGCCATGCTAACACCACAAACACCACACCCATCACCAGAACCACCACGACAACTACTACCATAAACACCACCACAGCCAGCAGCACAGCCACCAGAACAACCAGCATTGGTGTGACAGTGTTCCTTTATACAAGCTGTTCAGTGGTACCAATCTTCCCAACCGAAGCCAAATTCTACTTCCTCTGCTAAGTCAAAGGGCCGTCTCGTCCAAAGCGACCTGTTCAGGACCTGAACAAGAACGGCTTAGCTTGCTCAGCTCCTATCGGACTCTTTCATTTTTGACTCTGGGGCTGCCTTGCGAGACAAGCCTAAACCCTTGAACTGCCACACTTCTGCTACAAACACCGAGAGGGTGCTTAGAAACTCGATAGTTTCCCCTAAACTCCTAAACCCCCCCCCCCCTTCCCCCCTCAAAACGAAAATCCCGATAGACCCTCGTCTGCCGTCTGGCGCCCTGAACTCTTTCGAGCTCAAGTCTTCTCGGGCTCTGGCTCGTCTTGCTCGTGCGCCGAGCAGTATAGCCTCAACGTCAACTACACATTAGAGCAAATTCATAACTATACAAACAGGGCTGTCGACTGCCACGCCCCCCAAATCCGTCTCCACTAAAGCTCTTAGACCTTCCATGTACGAGCTGAGCACCTGGCACGCCAAATGTGATGATTCTATTAAGGCCCTTTTGCTCCCACTGAAACTTCCACATGCCAAGGTCAGCCCAGACCTGACATGTCGCTACACATGTTAAACTAACCTATGCAGGTGCATACGCTATAAAAAAAACCATGTAATCATGAACTCTGCATACCCCCCGACTTCCGTCATGTCCGTTCTGTAGGCTCGTCGCGCCTTCTACCCTAGGGGTCGCTATAGAGTGCTAGAATACCATGCTGCTGTCATACTGCAATGCGCCCATACTTCAACAGGGTATACCATACTGCTATAATGCTGTGATGTGGGGCCGTAATGCTGCAATCCTAGATACTAGCTGGCACCCCGTGAATAAATAGCAGTTGCTCAGTCTTCATGGCTCTGAGGGAGCGTTGTGTGTTGTATCTTGCTGGTATCAGTTCATCCTAGGGTTCCAGAGCCTTTGAGTTGATGCATCCGCGGGTTAGGTGTTAGCATTTCGTTCATAAGTCATGCCAG